AAACTTGGGCCTTTTTTCTTCCTCTATACCCTCTATGCTAGACTGACATCTAGGGAATTATTTTCTTACACATATTACACTTATGATAAACCACTATAGTCTCAGTAGCCTCAGACTTGGCAGGAAGAGATATCTAGAAAGCTTGTTCTATATATATATATATTATATTAACATTGATGATTTATTTCATTTACTAAAAAATCCAAAATTCCCGCATCCGATATTAATATTAATTAAATTCTTAATTTTCAAAAAATTAAAATTCGATCAAGTCGTAAGAACAGGAAGTGTGCATGGTTGCATTTTATGTCTTTTCTTGCATAGCTTATTGACGGCAAGGACCTGCGAACGATTAACATCAACTGGCTCCGCAGCATTATCAGCATTGTCAGTCAGGAGCCGGTGCTATTCGACAACACTATACGCAGCAACATCAATTATGGCGTGGAGGAGGAGCTGCCGATGGCTGTCATCGAAGAAGCAGCCAAGATCGCCAACATACACGACTTCATCGTCTCTCTTCCAGACGTACGTGCAGTGGCGCCACCTGAAGTGTCACCGAGAAACATTATATTATGCGATTCCGGCATTTTCAAAGATGAATAAAATGAGAGAATGAAGAAAAAATACAGAATTCAGCTAGCAACCCTGTTTGGTGTTGTGTAGTTGTAACTGTTCACAATAGGGCATAAATTTAGAAGAATAGAATAGGGAAGGCGGGAGGAAAGGAATTGCTTCATGTTGCTGCTTCACTGTCACTGCAAATCTAGTGTGGAATATATTGCACTTCCGTGCCTGTAAACTAACACGCTATCTCCTTGCTGCTGTCATCATTTTCAGCAATACAATACGATGGTGGGTGAGAAGGGCACTCAGCTGTCCGGTGGCCAGAAGCAGCGGGTTGCCATTGCTCGTGCCCTGGTGAGGAAGCCACGAATCCTCATTCTCGACGAGGCAACATCCGCTCTGGACACGGAGAGTGAGAGGGTAAGTCCACTAAGCACGTACGTGGCTCGGAAAGATCTGTCTGTCAAAGAGTATGGTTTTAGGGCATGTGTAGTGAACCCTGATTTACTTTGTTGCTTAGTTTCTTATAGTTACATAGTTGCACTTGGTACTGAGAGTGAGAGGGTAGATCCATCAAATCTGTGCTTCAGAAATATTGCCCATGATGATAATGGCATGATGATATTGCCATGATGATATTGCAGAGGGAGGGGAGAAATAATAAGCATTATGGGTTGTTTTTCAGCTATAGATAAAGAGCGAAAGCGTTCACTAGGCAAGGCAAAGCTTGGTGGCGATTTTAACCTAATCGATCACCATGGCAAGCCGCGATCCAGTAAAGACTTTCTCGGCCAGTGGATGTTACTGTATTTTGGCTTCACTCATTGCCCGGATATCTGTCCAGATGAGATTGAGAAGATGTGTGAGGTGGTAGATAAGATAGGTGCGTTGTGCATATTTAAGAATTCTTAATGGTGAAAATTTGGCAACTCATGACAGGTAACAGGAAGTATATAATATTCTTTTTGTGGAAAAACTGATCATCTAAACCTTAGGTTTGTAATTAGTAATATAAATGTTATAATGTTTTGAAGTGGTGTTAAAAATATTTTTACATGGCAATGCACAATTCCAAAGTGAGTTGGAAAAAAAGACAATGCACGAATGAGTGAGGGATAGAGATGTAGACAGGTGAGAAAAAGTAAAGAGTAAGCAATAGGAATAGAAAATGTTCATCCTCTTCTATTTCACTAACATAAAACTCCCTTGTTTTTCCACAGAGGCGATGGAGAATATACCAGGTGTTACACCACTTTTCATAACAGTAGATCCAGATAGGGATGATGTGGCAACTGTGAAGCAATATGTTGAAGGTAATAACAAGCAAGTTAATTGTATCTTTCATAAGAGGTGGGGCGATACAGGTAACTCGCGATATATGACGCGTATCAGGATACGATACATACTGAGATACTTTCAAGAGAAACTACCTAGCAAAGTATATACTTAACTTGTTCTTTACCCATCATGAATGCTTACAAATCAGTATCAGTTAGTAAACAACTGCTATTGAACTGCAAATTGTGTCATGCTTTGTTTGTTTTCTGACGAAACTATGTTACCAAATGATATAATTTTATTCAGTAGAGTATTGATCATGACATGTGTGTCACAAATAGTCAAACGTATCGATACATATATCATCAAGATTTGTATTGCAATACAACTATATATTAATAAACCGTCCCACCCCTGTTTATCATAGTAGATGAATTTAGTATATTAGGATGAAGAAACAAGTTTCTAAAAGTTATGAAAATATTGTTTTACACAACAAAAGAACTAAAAACATATCCCTTATTTGATTGAATAATTTCATCGGATCTCTATGGCTCACATGCTAATAAAGTTTATCTCAGTTAGATCCATCAGTTCGATTTTTAACTTAATTTGGATCTAACTGAGATAAACTTTATTAGCATATCCCTTATTCTTTTTGTATCATTATATTTGCTGAAATGTATAATCGGTACATCATTTTACAGAGTTTTCTCCAAAACTACTTGGTTTGACTGGGTCAAAAGAACAGCTGCAAGAGGTGTGCCGTGCGTATAGAGTGTATTACAGTGCAGGACCACGAGATGATGACGATGACTACATTGTAAGCACTTATATAAGTAATGCCTGCAAATGAATTCATCTTACACATTCCTATTCTTATGATATGTGTGCATTCCTGTGTCGTTATAATATATGTGTACGTGTAACATTTGAGCTTTGTATATGATTTTCTAATGGTGACAAAAATTGTCCAAACAAACCCACAAACAGCAAGCAAAATTTGTGGCACTACTTGCTAATGGCTTCTCTTGGGTGTTTAGGTGGATCATACAATCATCATGTATTTCATAAATCCGGATGGGGAGTTCCTCGACTACTACGGGCAGAACAAGACCGCTGATGAGGTTGTCAGCAGTATCAGCGTACACATGGTGAAGCATCAGAACTCCAAGAAGCTGCTTAGCTGGTGAATACAAAAGACCGATTGTTTTTTTGGAAAGTGAACTGCCAGTTAGGTCTTTTAGTGAGAAATTCTTTAAGAAGGCATGGCAAATAACGGGGTAAAATAGCGCCCGAGTGACGAGGTATTGCTGTGTAGATGAAGTGAACTTGGTACCATTGTCGCCAGTGATCGAAAATGTAGGTAGCAATAATATCTAGTTGACCTCGGGAAAAAATCCAACTCATTCCAGATAAGTGCAGATATAATACAAAAGTGTCACATTCTTAATTAATACTTTGGATTAGAACAAAAAGTATTTTCTGATTAGTAATAGATGAAGTAACTGGCAACAAATGTAAGGCATGTTTTACTATTGTTGAGCAGCATTATTAAAAAATTGTAAATTCGAATGAAATATTAAAAAACTGTTTCAATTTGTTCACGCAGTGTTCGTGTGTTAGATACAGCACACACGCATGCACACGCACGCCCACACAACAGGTGTAAGTACAGCTTGCATTTGCAAAAATACAATAAACAAAATAATTTATAGCAACTTAATTCATTTTTTTATTTTTTCTCGAGTTCACAAATATTTAATTCAAATTATACCCCACTTGTAAATGAGCTGACCGTTTCATCACTCGTACGACTGCACTGGAGGCTTAGGTATGACTTGAAAGCCTGGTGGCATCCGCAACCGTTTCCCCTTCACAGGGTTATTCTGCCAGTAGACGACATCATTGTACTTGTTCAGTGTGGATTTCACATGTTGCTCTGCATCAAACTCCTCTGCCCCCTGTAAGTAAATATACATTGTAACTGGCTGTGATAATACAGCAAATAATAAAACGTTAAATAATTTCAAAGTGAATCTTTTCCCATGTTAGTGACTTGTGTTACAATTTATTAAAACTATCCTTATTACCATAAGGTTGAATTTTTTTTAAATAAAATTTGTGAATTTCTGAACCCCGAGTGTATATATAATCTTGATTACTGCAATGCAGAATTGGGGGTGCTACTACTGTTTGCGATTTCTCACTTCTGGCTGAATTACCTTTGATGACATTGACAATATTCGTTTAGAAAATGGTTCACAAATATGCAGTATATAACAGAAAATAGGCTGTATCACATAAACACTCGTAAGCATATTTATAACTTACATGTAGCACCAATGCTAGTTCTTTCTGCAAGGCTTTCTCTTTTCTCTTTATTCGCTTCTGCTTCACCTGTTGACATGAATAAATATGTATTAAAATCATTCATAACCTCGACTTTGTTGGTAGCTGAGGTATGGACACATCAGAAATGCTATAACTCGTAAAGTTTGAATGCGCAATGTTCAGTAAACCAAATTGCTTTTCTCGAGCTGCTTCTATGGTCCATCCAAAAAATACCAGTGCAACTGTAATGACAGACGCACCCTTCGGTAGGCAAATCGCATCTTCTTCTTCAGCTTCTTCAGTTTATGCTTGTTCATTTTTGAACGCCTAATCTTTATCATCCCGCACGGCATCTTGCCCTTGGCGATAATCTCCTCCACCGGCAGCCTCTGCGGCATCTCTAGTGACACGTCCGAACGAACGGGCTCCACCTTTTCCTCAGTTGCAACACCAGGCACCTCCTTCTCAGTCACCTCTGCGCCAGGCACAGTGTATATTATTGGCACGACTGTCTTAGGTGCTGTCGGACATTCATACTTAAATTGTGATGTTTCTCCGTAGCAGCGCAGTTTAGTAGTCCCACGTGTTGCTACAAAGGTGCTTGTAGGCATTTCAACTTGTCCATAATATAATGGCAGTTTGTGCAATCGTGCTGCCTTGTCGTTCTTGCCCACTAACAGGGAACTAAATGTCTCGGAGAGTTCTGCGACAGTAGTATCAAGGACTTTACATTTCGACCTTTCACTGGAGCTTTCTTCAATTGCTGTGATACCATAGACAACACCTGGGAACCGACTCACTTGGCTCTTACTCTGTGACGAAACAGTACCTAAAAATACATATTTATAGTACTTTAGCTTATTAATATTAGTTATACATTTTACAATAGCACTTTTACGAGTGGCGCTGCCTGTTACACTGTCACTGGTTACAGAAAAATCTGTATCTCCGAAGGAATACATTACACCTCAAAATATATACGTACAAGTATAATAATGTATCATGCAGTAATTACCAATGCATCGTATGACATAACTGATAAACTAAGTCATAACCAATAAATAGTGATCTGGAAATTTTATAATCTGATGCTATTCTAATCTAGGGTTCAATAGGGGGCCACAACCAAAATACGGTGAACTTTTGTACGATGTTTTTACGCTGTGGCTATATGCCTGGCAGCCGGGCATGGTCTTCGATTTCCTAAATGCCCGGCAGTTCCTAACCCTAACCCTTGTTTACTTGAGATAACGCTGAAAATTAAAAACTGCCGGGCATTTAGGAAATCGAAGACCGTGCCCGGCAGCCGTCAGATATATGCCGGCTGCCGGCATATAGCCACTCTGATGTTTTAAATGTTTCTGACCATGTAATATTAAAACTCTAAGATTAAGAAATATCGGCCCTAGTCTAGAAGACATACAATGATACATATGTCCCACAATACCCTACTTCATGTCTACGACTACAATACAATACACAATGGCCGGGTCATGTCTTCTAGACTAGCTCCGAAATATCTACTAGTACTAATCTAGCTTTATTAATTGACATTGACAATTCACTAGGCCTATTAATCACGACACTAGGCCTAAAGTATATTGACATTGTTTTGATTATTTTTCACACGCACTGACTGACTCATGACCGATTGATTGAGTTCGACTGTCTACAGTCTAGTTCAACTGACGTCGTTAATTTTAAGAAGCTATTATTAATTACCTATTCCAGAAATAACAACGTGGCGAAAATATGAAGAACTGCTCGATCGCGTTAAACAGGGTAACATGTTTCAAGGTTGAAATACATCAACAAGCACTACACTATAGAAACATCGGCGAAGACAGCATGAACGTGTGTGCTCGTTACAGCACTCAGATTCAACATGGCTGAAGTCGCTGAACGCACACAGGCACACGCACGCACGCACGCACGCACGCCAGGGGCGTAGCTACGAGGAGGCCTGGGGGGGGGGCACGTGCCCCCCATAAATTTTCTGTGCCCCCCTCAGGTACCCCCCTCTGAAAATTCATGCTTGATAAAAAAAATTGAATTAAAAACAATGCCGTTAGAACAGTATAATACAAAGAAAAGTTATATATTGTGCCCCCCCACGAAAATGTAAGGCCCCCCCAGTCCCCCCTCGCTGAAAAATCCTAGCTACGCCACTGACGCACGCACGCACGCGCACACACACGTGCGCGCACACACACACACACACACACACACACACACACACACACACACACACACGCACACACACACACACACACATATATATATATATATCAGAAGTAGATAATAGGAAACTATTCTACTACCGGTATTCCCTATTTCCCTACTATTCCTATCTACTTCTGATATATATATATATAATTATTATATATGAGGAGGGGGTCAGGAGGTTGTCTTCCTCTCGCCTCCCTCCCCTCTCCTCCCACCTCCCTCCCTCAACACCTCCAGGATCCTTTATATTTTGCATTTTCTTTTTTTGAATGTCACAATTAGTATCTCCATGGTTTCTCTGACAGTTTGCGTAATAATGTATTAATCCTGTACAATGTATTTTCTCATGTATTTATTTCTCGTGCTATGGATTTCTTTTATTTTTCTCTACTTATAGTATATACCGGTACTCTCTCTCTTTCTCGCTCTTTCTCTCTCTCTCTCTCTCTCTCTCTCTCTCTCTCTCTCTCTCTCTCTCTCTTTTTGTCTTTCTCTTTTTGTCAATCCTCCCGCCCACTGGCCTCCCCACTCCTTCCCCTCCAGCTTGCCGTCCTCTTTTCTCCTGTCTCTCGCCCCATCCTCTCCCGTCTCCCGTCCCCCCTCTCCCGTACCCCCGCCCCCTGTAACCCCTCATCTATATGTATATCTATAATATAATATAATATATATGGATGTGGGGCCATAGATAACACATATACATTGATAAAAATGTGGGCGAGCGGGCGCGCGCGTGCGTGCGTGCGTGCGTGCGCGTGCGTGCGCGTGCGTGCGTGCGTGCGTGTGTGTGTATGTGTGTGTGTGTGTGTGTGTGTGCGTGTGTGTGTGTGTGTGTGCGCGCTCGTGTGTGTGTGTGCGTGTGTGTGTACTACATGTGTGCGTGCGTTCGTGTGTATTATAGACTGTAGTTGAGGCATAGATATCTGACTGTAGTTGGGCCGTCTAAATTGATATCGTCAACGTGTACTGAATCCTAATCGTTATAGATGGCGCTGTGACTCACGCCTAAAAACGATGGTAAATTCTATAACTACAAGTAACAAGGAGAAGATTCATTTGTTATTAATGTTTTGGTGTCTGAGAGCTTATGTGAGTATGAGGAATAACGCAGTTTGCAAATTCGTTTGTTTATTCAATTTATTTAGTGATAACGTGATGTCGCGTATGCTATTAGTATTATATCCGCGCTTCTCAAATTGATCTGAACAGTGAACAGTTACAGTGCAAGTTGAAATGGACTAGTCAGTAGGCCTAGCCTACAGACTACAGTACTCAGTAGTCAGTAGGCCCATTACTACTACTAGTAGTACTACTAGTACTACTACTACTAGTACTACACCGTACACGCTCTACAGTACACTCACACTTAGCCCGACCAGGCTGTGTGACTAACGAGTAACGTCAATATTATTATGAATATATACACAGTCTGACATCCATCCATTGCCATTGGATAATCTTGTACCTGTACAAAAACTGCCGAACAATTACGTATCGACGTGGATATTCGTCCGAGCATCGTACACCTGTTTGTATGCGCTATTCGTCTGAGCAGTTGTTGGGCATGCGCTGTTCATGTTGCATGCCGCAGGCGCACCTCACGAGCGCCGTAGGTAGGAAGTTTGAAGGTGGGTCTAGTTTTTAATTTTTAAATCTAGACGCTCTAAAATGCTATTTACTCTTTCGATTTTTGATTATTTTATGCCCTTTAGGCTGGGGGCCTGTAGCGTTTTGCTACGGCAGCCCTACAGCTGTGACGCCCCTGCATACATGCGTTGCGTATGTGGTTATACACCATAGATAGTGTTTGGTACTATCACTCGCGTATATATACGAAACCGAGAGTATAATAAGAGAACCGAGTCGTTTTATAGTTAGTGTTAGGGTTAGTGCTGGGGTTAGGATTAGGGTTAGGGTTAGAGAGTAGGCGTGTTTAGGGAGTAGGCGCCTCCCTAAACTAGCATTATATTACATTTATGTAATGCAACATGAACAGCGCATGCGCTACAACTGCTCGGACGAATAGCTCATACGAACAGGTGTCCGATGCTCGGACGAATATCCACGTCCATTACGTATATCTCAAATAAAATAATCATCTAAGTATTTCTGCCTTGTTTTGTAACAAGTATAACCTTCACGTTATAAGTTATAGTATTCCAGCATTGTTATTAAAACTAATAGTAATACCTCAGTTCGCTGTGCACAGTGTAATTTTCAAGAGCCGAACCTAAATTTCACTTTAACCGCCATGTTTACACTGCGCATGCGTTTCGATTGGAAAACCCGAAACGACCCATAGCTGCCCATGTGTTTTTTTTACATTTCGGGTGACGTCACGCATGTACACAACAACATTTGAAAACGAAACGCAAGTACTTGAAGTAGTGCTAGCACTTTGAGGAATAAATGCATAAATACATGGTTTAAAGTTGTGGAAAGTGTTCAAAAAGCTAGGTGATATGTCCATGTACATAAATAAGTGTTAAAAAGCCCGATCATTTTGCGTTTTGTGAGCCATTTTTCGTGGAAGCATTGGGGGACAGGTGCAGTTACGAAACCTGGCATAAAATGTTCTATAGCCATGAGGCAACTGTACGCGGGCTATAGTACTAGAGCTAACTCGCACTGTAATGTGTACAGTAGTCTAGCAAGTATAGAATGAGATGGAAACGATTCAAACTAGATACAACTATTACAACTACAAGTTAATGTAACCTAAAAGAGTAGGTTGTATGTAAATTGTAATACTCCTACTCCGTTTGGTTATATTGTTGTATCTAGATACAAACCATTGGTCGATGTGTAACACTAACACTAACAGTACCCTCGTCGTCTCGAAGGTGATGATTGACTTATGAGTAGTATTTACGATATCATCTTAATGTTACTGTTGTTACTTACCTCCTTAGCTCCTGTAATCTGTAATTGTAACTGTAATAGTAATCTGTTTTGCCAATCCTAATTGCCATTGCCACATTAACAATAAGTTTAAGTCAATATTTGGGGATTTCATATTTTTAAAATTATGAACTAGAAACTAGTATTTCATGTTAGACATTTGATATTATATGTGAATCATCGTCAACCCAATATCTGGGCACCTGAAAGAAACGTAAACGGGATTGCATAAGGTTGCTACGGATTCGTAAAGATTGTATAACTTGGTTCAGATGATAATGTTTTGCCGCTAACTGATATATTACTTGAAACAAAGACTCAGAACATGTAATCTGCTACGAATGATGCAGTTGTCTTTTACAGTGGCATAAAATCCAAATGCCTTTCATCTATTTGGTTACGTCAATCTGTCACTCTGACAATTACTCAACGGTATACCTTTAAGTTATATCAAAAAATTGTGTGAAATCACAGTTTAATATCAGATACGCAGCGCGGATATTTGCTAGTTTATTCGTAAAGTTTGAATTGTGAAATTTGTACAATACCTTGTAATTTACCACTGCATTATTGCCATTTGTACAAAATGCTACTACATAGAATACCTCACTTCAATGTGGCCCTTTATAACATAATAGTCATGAATGCTGTTCAAAATAAAACCAGTACCACCCCCAGATTGCATAATTTGGGTTTGTATGTGTTTCACTTATTATGGTGAAATCTATAGCTATAAAAGCTATCTATATTAGAAATTATATGGAAGATTGGATTCTAAATTTTTGGTTATTAAAAAGATTTGTTAATTCTTCAGGTATTTAGAATAGATTGGAATTTAATCGTGTTTAAAATATTATTTATTATTACCTTCGCCAAGGGGTTGGCATGAGGTTATGTTTTCACCGGCGTGTGTTTGTTGGTTTGTGGGTTTGTGCGTTGGTTTGTTTGTGTACAGCCTAACTGAAAAAGTTATGGACGGATTGTCATAAAATTTTCAGGATAGGTCAGAAATGGGGTAACTTAGAATTGATTACATTTTGCTGGTGATCCGGATCCAATTAATTAAATAATAAAATTTTCAGGATAGGTCAGAAATGGGGTAACTTAGAATTGATTAAATTTTGGTGGATCCAATTAATTATTTAATTAATTAATTAATTAATAAAATTTTTCACAGTGACAGAATTGAGCTGCCTTGGCCGAGGTCTGCGCTCTCCGAGTGCTCTAGTTATATATATTTTAAGTCTTTAATACTTCAGTACATAATGTTTAAAAAGAAAGTCACCTCAATAGTCACACACTAGATGCGAAACATACAATTGTGTAATTGATAATCTAATGAAATTTAGAAACATGGATGAAATAAATATGTAACTGTTTGATGAATGATGGTAGCCAACCCTAACCCTAGCCTGCAAATATGGATAACAGTGGAGTGTCTTCACTTAGATTACAGCAACAGAATACCTGCAGATATTCACTTATCTATGTTATTTACACCATGCAGTTATGCCCTAGATACAACATGCGTTTGGAACTTACATGTGTGTTTTGTACAGAAACCTTGAGGAATGAGCAATCTCACATTGAAACAAGAGACAGATGACAAGCCAGCATCAATGCTCGGCTCTGCAACGACACCCACGACACCTTCAGCTGTAGCCATCAGTAAGGTGGTGAGTATGTTAACACACACTGCCAGCAACCAATGAACAGGGTTCGTAGCGGGTCTTCCAAAGTCTTATAAGTACTTATTTTGCCAAAAATAAAATAAGGGCCCTTATTAGTACTTATTTTTGGTGAAATCTTAGAAAAGTGCTTAATAGTCCTTATTTTTTAATTGTTTTATAAACTGTTCTCGACTTAGAGTAAGAATTGTTGTATATATAATACGGAATAATTAAATCTGCTGTGCAATTGTGTATATAAATATTATTAGTGTACTTTAATAGTCGGTGATCTATCAGAAATCGCGTAAAAAAGTTCTTTTTTTGGCCTCCAGAAAGTGTCTTATAAGTCCTTATTTCAACGTGTGTCTTACTACTATGAACCCTGATGAAGATGGCTATCGGGCTTATAAATACATCCACTGTATTACATCTGATAATTGTTACATTAAATTGCATGTGATGTGATTGAGACATGCTGCTCAAATGCATACATGTGTGTGCATTATAAGGTATGAATTAATAATGTCTTCCGAATAATTTCAGAAACCCAACTACACATTGAAGTTCACTCTAGCTGGTCACACAAAGGCTGTATCTGCAGTCAAGTTTAGTCCCGATGGACAATGGCTAGCCAGCTCATGTGAGTGCATGCTTGAGTATATATAGTATTATATACCCTAGGACATAGTTAAATACTTGATTAGGTAGCATGTCAACTGATGCATGTATAAGTATAAGGTACAAATATAAAAGTAGCTAGGTGTGGTTGGTCATCATTTGTTATTTTGTTTGTGTGTACCAATCATCAATGTTAGATATTTGTTTGTTATTTCAGCTGCTGATAAATTGATTAAGATATGGGGTGCCTACGACGGCAAGTTTGAGAAGACGATTTCTGGACACAAGCTTGTAGGTTTGATTTACATCACAAGTCTATATTACTTAATTCTGCTTAAAGCATTGTTGTGCCAGATTGCAGCATTGTTACGATCCAGAGTCCAAAGGCAGAGGAATAGATGAGGAATCTCGGGGAATATAGAAAGTGTATTGCCAATTTACGTCCAATGTATTTTGCATAGACTAGTCAAGATTATTTGGACGTCTGTTTAACTGTAATTATTCTGCCTGTTTAGTCCGAGCATATAAAGTTGCATGCAGTCATGTCCATGTGTAGGGTGAATATCTATGAGTAGTGTTGAGAGGCCATCTATAATAAATAATGAAAAGAAAACCTGCTATTCCTCCTGCTTATTTTTCACACAAATTAAAGATGTTTCTATCACACTCACACACCTCATTAATTCATATTTCCTTATATTTTGGGGACCAAATCTTACTTGACACCCTAATCATGTTATGGTGTGTCGTCATTACTAAACGTGTGTTTTTGTTATAGGGTATATCGGATGTTGCTTGGTCAAGCGACAGCAAATTTCTCTGCAGTGCATCAGACGACAAAACACTGAAGATCTGGGACCTGGCAACTGTGAGTATTGCAGCCACCGGACGTAAGCCGTTGGTCGAAAACCAGCTACATGGAAAATAAACTGTTCGTGGATAACTTGAGATGGGGATGTGTGTAAATGATACAAATCCACTTACACTTGCTTATTCGATTCCATGTTATAGCATATATGTCATATATAATATATATTATATAGCATATATAATGGAAAATATGGCTGCTAAACATTTCTGTAGTTTGTTGTAACTATGTAGAACTGTATATTGCAGATGTAGAAGATGCTGCTATGTTTGTCTTAAACTCAACTATATTTTTTGTTTCTAATGAGAGTAGTTTTATGTTTTAACGTTTGAGTTCTATTATTTACTTAGCACAGGTCAAATGGGCAGGCAATACAAATGTAGCAAATATTAAAATACTGAAAATGTTATTGTTTTATCACGATATGGTGGTGATAGTAGTAATACTAGTAAACTGTGATTGAGACTATCTGAAAGATATGGGAATTAGGCCTATGTCAGCTTTAAGGATATAATTAATTGTTGTTGACTAGCTTGTTGGATTAATCAGAGTGTAACTTTGCTTTATAGGGTAAATGCTTGAAGACCCTAAAAGGACACAGCAATTATGTGTTTTGCTGCAACTTCAATCCACAAGGAAATTTAATAGTTTCTGGATCAGTACGTATGTTACTGTGTTACTTGTACTAGAGTACAGAAGTACTGAAGTCAGACTACTGTAATATATAAACTTGTTCGACTATTTGTATTGTGTTGTGCCACACTATGCTATTAAGAAATTAGGTAGAATGTTGTTGCAATAAGTTGCATGTATTATTTCATGGCTGGCCTGACTGTGACTGTAGCTACTCCAAGGTACAACGTCTAGTATGCGCATTGTTGGTTTCTCTTGTAGTTTGACGAGAGTGTGCGAATCTGGGATGTGAAGACAGGCAAATGTTTGAAGACTTTACCAGCCCACTCTGACCCCGTTTCTGCTGTGAGTATTATTTCCTATAAAAACCTTCTGAGCAATGAGAAACTTTGAAACGTCTAGTGGTCCTTCTACATTTTAACTTAATAATATTCTAAATGGAACTTTTCCTTACAGGTACATTTCAACAGGGATGGCTCACTAATTGTATCTAGCAGCTATGATGGGCTTTGGTATGTTTAGCTACTTTTGTTCTTTAGTATGGATAATTGGATCAATCAGTCAAAAAATTTACATTCCAAAACCTTTCTTTTCAATATCAAATAGCCTCATAACCGCAGTATAACATTTTTATAGGCTTTTCCAGACTGATGTTAACACCCACTGAAATTTCCAAACTTTAGTTGTCTTATTAATATGTTTTTACGATACTGCATTTTATTCTATAACTTCATTTTATAAGTCACCTATAAAAACACGTTTCCAACGTAAGCTTGGAAGTACCCTCACATTGAAATTTGTTTTATTATCTTTGATCTCTTTTTCTTTCAGTCGGATCTGGGATACCGCATCGGGGCAGTGTTTAAAAACCCTGATTGGTAATTTGAACAATGTTGCAGTAGATATGTTGTGACTTTTATCTCGTCATTAATCGAAATTCAAGCTTAACGGCATATTAGGAAGTACACCTGGCAACTTATCTCAGAAGAGTGATTGTATTGCACTTGCCAGTACTGATTGGTGGCTTGATTCTTATAATAGATGATGACAATCCACCGGTTTCCTTTGTCAAGTTTTCTCCCAATGGCAAGTACATCCTAGCAGCGACACTGGATAGCACACTAAAACTGTGGGACTACAGCAAGGGAAAGGTAAGAAGGAATTGCATTTGTTTGATATTTGTGCTTTTATTTGTTGTAAAGTAAGTAAGTAAAAACTTTATTTAACGACGGTAAAACATGTTAGGTACAGACACAATAAATTGGCGCGGACCTATCTTCCACATGGCCGTCTCACAGCAACAGAACGGTTAAATATTAAATAAATACACAATATGTTGAAATACTTTGACTAAAATTGTACGGGGTAAGTAGAGCACAATGGGCCCTATTGATAGGGCAAGATTTTCTTTAGACGGACTTTAAAAGAAGAAATGGTGGGGGCATCTCGAACGTCAAGAGGTAAATTATTCCATTCAGATGCCGCAGCGCACCGAAAAGTTTTCGTAGCATTTCAGTGCGTGCACGGGGCGGATACAAACGCGCTTCATCTGCACACACACTACGCGTCCGTCTAGAGCTCACTTCATGTTTAAAAGTAAAAAAACCGTCAAGATAGGCAGGTGCCTGCTTACGTAAAATTTTGTAAGTTAAAAGAGATCGATGGTAATAAAAACGTTGGCGAACAGTCATAAAACCTAGCTGCGAAAAGATTTCTTTAGTGCGGGCGTCTGAAGGTCTACGAATGTTAAGAATTAACCGCGCAAAACGTTTCTGCAGGTTAAAAACTTTGTCAATATAACTCTTCGCGGCATTTCCCCACACAACAATACCATAATCATGTTGTATGCACATTTGCAGATTTCTTGATAAATATAGATTTCAAATTATTTTAATTTGCAACAAATTATTTCTGAGCACTTGGTTAAGGGTGCCTACAAATCTTTACTTATTTTTGAAGTCGGATAACTTCCCGCCATGATTGTAAACAGTGAAAATGAAAACCACACCCACTAAACTCTAATAGTTATGTGATTTAATGTCAGATGCCTTAAATATTAAACATTTTACTAAGGTTACAGAGTAGATGAACTGGTTTATTGCCACGCCCATATCACACGATGTTGTACCGTTATTGATCATGTGGCATTAATTTCGGTGTTGTTCCCTTCACGTTTCAGTGTTTGAAAACATACAGTGGACACAAGAATGAGAAGTATTGTATATTCGCCAACTTCTCAGTGACAGGAGGAAAGGTAAGAGTCGTGTTAATTTTTTGGGTGTCCGCCATACATCCTATTAATTCCCTTTATGTATAACTACCTAAAGTTGATACAGGGCTGCTTTGTAATTTTAACTAATATCATGTCAGAAGTGCAATATCTGGAATTGTATTTTCTTAATAATTACGATACATGACAGCACCAGCTGAATATACTTGCTCGCATTTTGTAGTGGATAGTTTCTGGATCGGAGGACAATATGGTCTACATTTGGAATCTGCAAACAAAGGAGGTTGTACAAAAGCTCGAAGGGCATACAGGTACGCAACTTTGATTTAAGCATCTTTATATATTCTGTTATGAAGAAGCCTGTCAAGAATAATCATTGAATCTTGTTTCCGTGTTGCACTAGTTAATTGTATAGAATTGCTCTCGATTTTTGAGAAATCGAGTACGTTATCGGTCATCAATCGTGAATGAACAATGAAATGAATGTATTTGTGTTATTTTTATTTATTATTTATTTTATCTCTCTCGTTTGTAGATGTCGTTCTGTGCACATCCTGCCATCCAACAGAAAACATCATTGCCTCTGCTGCTCTGGAAAACGACAAGACAATAAAGCTGTGGAGGAGCGATACTTGACCTGTGTGATTCCGATTTTATCCACTAGGTGGCGTGCTCCATTGCAAGTGCTTAGGAATATTGGAATCACCATCAACCCGTGCGCTGGGAACCATGCAGACCGAATGTACCACAATTAGCACGTTATGTCTATCACCTGAATTGAATTGACTTTATGTGCTAAAAAAGCATTGGTTTCTTTCTGAGTGAGTAAATCGTGAAGCGTATAGCCTCATAGAGGAGGTACGTTTGTGTTCGGTGTTTAACATTGGTGGCATGATTCATGAGTGTATTAAGCACAGGATTTCGTGTCAAGCATTGTAAAAAGTTAACTGCTATTTTATCACGAGTTTAGAACTTCTATTACACGGTTAGTTTTAGGCTAGAATGAGTAATACACCTGCTAGATATAGATTATGCAAAGTACTTTTTTTAAAAACTTTTTCAAAGTTTTTTGAAGAAATACTGTAATATCATACACGATGTACAAGAACGACGTGTAGTTCCGAGGCAAAATCCCCTCCTTGTGTATTGGTGCACATGGGTGACTATTTTAGATGTTCAGAATGTTAGGAAATCGGCATTTTCACTCTCACAGCGAGTAACTTGAATATTGAGTCTTCCATCTTCGAAAAGAGATTGTGCATTTAAAAGGAGATGGAGACCACACCCTTGTATCATCCTTCACGTGCTTGTTGTGTGTAAAACTAATGGAGCGGCTTTAGAGATTGAAACTTGTATGTAATCATGTATTGCAAAATCTCTCCCAATTATGCATCCTCTGTTAGCTACAAGAATGAGCGTGAGTGCTGCATGAAGGTCACAATATGTACGTCACGCTTACAGACAGTGCAAGCAATCCACGCATATCATTGTGTCCAGTAGAGAGGGAAAGCAAGGTGGACAGACAAAGCCACGTCAGAGTGACAAATGTTTGTCAAGAAAGAACAGTATGCAGCATAGCATTATATCACAGCATGGTATCATGTCATAGAGTAGCGTTATGTCACAGCATGTCAGTACGTCACAGTGTAGCATTATGTCACGGAATAGTGTTACATCATAGCATAGCATTATGACACAGCGTAACATTACATCACAGCATGGCGTCGCAGCGGTGTTGTGTTGCGGCGTAGCATTACGATGCATTGTAGCATTATGTCGCAGTACGGCTGTAAGTCATCATGCCATGTTATACCACAGAGTAACCTTAAAACGTCAGTCTGGTATGTGAAAAGAGGGGAGCCGTGTAAATTGTGCTACGTTACCACTCAAGAAATTCTGTATGATGCCGCGAATGTGAGAGCAAATATTGTAAATTACTAAATCTCATTGGTGTACAGTGAAGTGCTGTAAAGTTGAACTAATAGCTATAACATGGGAGATTTCTGACGCTGTCTGCCGTACATTTAAAAGCGAGTATCTCACTCGTGCGACCTGGTATCAGCAAAAGCGCTTCGACAATTGTTACGTTGTTGAATTGCCGTGAACTGCTTAAGGAAATTGTCGCTGCTTTAGTCTGGTAAATCTATTATCGACTTGTTGGTTGTTTTTTATCGTCTCTCCTACATGTATATTGGCTTTCGACTGCTGGGGAAATCGGGGATGCACTAGTGTTTTATAGATTGGCTTTATGTTATTATGGCTCCGTTATAATTATATGCAATTGCATTTTGTTTGGGGGGGGCACGTGTTGATTTTCGGGCCGGTTTTTCAGAATGCATTCCAATTTGTGTCGTCAGAAGTAAGTCTGCACAGTCGCTAGTTTTCAGCGTACCCTATGTACGAGCTACACACAAGTGCGGCGAGCAGGTGAAATACCACAAACCATGTCTTTAGCACAGCTATATAGTTGACGCGACCAGTGTATGGGAGCTGTGTCATTATTGTGCGGTGGTGCTGACAATGAGGTTTGTGTGGTGGGGTGTATAATGTTCAATTTGCTACGCGCGAGTTGGCATTAAGTAAAATTTAAGAAATTTAATTAATTAATGAAAAATTTCAAAAAATAAACTGGATTCCAAATCTAAACGTTCGTCGATCGGATTCATCGTTGTGTTATTGATAGGTTCTCTTGCTTACTATAATGTTACCCAAGATGTGCATGAATGAGGTTTCAATTCTTACCATTTCAACATTCTCTCGTAATGGCTGCATTTTCTGCGACATTTTTCCCATTCTAAAACCGATATCAATACTCTTAGATCCAAAAAGTATCAGAGAAAATATTTTTGCCATACATCCTCAAAAATTATAGATCCGATGTGTACCTTTTCTACGAGTTTCTGATAATGCCGGAATAAAATCTAGGTGTATTCTGTAATATAATAAGACAATTTTGTTCATCTGTATTATTACCTGTAGTATATATGTATATATATTCAAGGACGTTTAAGGGCTGTGGGGACCCTGTATGTATATACATATATATATATATATATATATATACAGGGTCCCCACCGCCCCTAAAAGTCATTAATTTATGTCTAATGTCCTGGAAGTTTAAATTTTTGGTCTAAAATAATAAAATCTTCCTTGCTGGTTATCTGACTGACCCTATCCCAAGTCTTCGATGAAAATGTCTCTGCCTCTCTCGCGCGCACGCTCTCACCATCGCCCGCGCTCTGTGTCTCTGCCTCTCTCGCGCGCACGCTCTCACCATCGCCCGCGCTCTGTGTCTCTGCCTCTCGCTCTTGTCCTGCCTCTATCTATCTTTCGCTCTCGCCCTCCCTCTCTCTCTTTCTCTCTCTTTCTCAGCCCCTCTTCTCTCCGTCATCTCGCTCTCACGCGCGCTCTCACCATCGCCCCTCCATCTGTCTCTGCCTCTCTCGCTTCACCTATATCTCTCTCTCTCACTCGTCCTCTCTTTCGCACGCGTTCTCTCTCTCTTTATCTATCTTTCAGTCGCTCTCGCCTTCTCTCTTTCTCTAATTCTCACTTTCACCGCGGTGGCGTCGGCTGGGACTTCGTAAGCTGCAGATAGATATGCTAGACACGTCGACACTAGCCGACAAAAGAACATCATTTATTGCGCAAATAAAGTACTGCTCTCTCCTCCTCCCAGCTCTCCCACCTTCTCTCTACCTCACCCCTCTCTCTCCCTACTATCTACCTCACTCCTCCCTCTCCCTTCTCTCCTCTCTACCTCACTCCTCCCTCTCCCTACTCTTTACCTTTCCCTCCCTCTCCCGTCTCTCCTCTCTACCTCCCTCCTCCATCTCCCTTCTCTCCTTTCTATATCACTCCTCCTTCTTCCTGTGTTGTACCCTTACGAAACATTTGCATTTTGTCATAAGAAAACAAGAAAAGAGAAGGCGAGAGAGTGGGATAGGGAAAACAGAGTGACTGTAAATTATAGCCGTAGGAATATATCCTCATTTTGGGCTTTGGTGAAGGTGAAAGTTGTGACTAAAAATGCATATATAGTTTATTTATGAACCTAGAGATGGCGCTTTTACAACTTTCTAAAATGGCGTCAATTTCGTTATGTTTCAGTGAATGTAATAATTGTTTTGACCAATTACTAGCTGTATTATACTCGGTATGAAAAATGGAGATACTTTAAACATTCCATAGTTACGAGGTAAGCTTTCTCCATAGTCCTATGATATTAGTTGGTTATTAGTAATAAGTTAGCATTAGTAATACTAATAGCATATCTGGATCTGGATTAGCTCTAGTACTATAGCCTGCGGCAGCGATCCGCGGGCTATAGTACTAGAGCTAGATCTGGATAGTTTACTGCGTAGCCCACGGTTACGTGGATAATAACGCAGGGGACTTGTCACTTGACGTGATGCGGCCATGATGACGAGGCTCACCGAGGTTTGACACTTTGTGCTGGTTATTCAGCTGCTGGTGACCTGTATGCTAGGGTTTTAAGCGGGGACGTTACTGAACCTTGGTGACACATGGAAATTCAAGATGAGACTTTCCTTAACCCGCACTCCGCAGTGTGTCTGAAGAGTGAAGTTCTATTGACTGTGATTAGCATTAAGTTGTGTAAAATAACAGCTGACACTTCTTTATCGACCAACAAGTACACACATTATGTGTAGACACATAAAGTTGAGAGAGAAGAGAAAGCACAAGAGAAACAGCGAGAGTGAGAGAGATAGAAACAGAGAGAGGGAGAGAGAGAGAGAGAGAGAGAAACGGAGAGCGAGAGAGAGAGAAAGACAAGCAGAAGGCAGAAATACAGAGGGAGATGGAGCATGATAAAGTAGATGAAAGAGAGGTAGCAGAGATTGATACAGCGAAAAAAGGGAGTTAGAGAACAGGGAGGTAGGGCATGAATAAGAGAAAACTGAGAGTGCAAGAGAGAAGCAGCGATAACGGGAAGCGGCATGTGTAAGTCGGGACGATAAGCTACGCTCTTTACTAATCCACTTCTGTGATTTACAGGCTGCGCCATGTACAGACAATCTCACATGTGACGGGTGCTACTATAAGGAATACAACTGGAGAGACATCTTGGTACAACGGTAGACAGCAGAGATGGGCACACAGTAGTGGGGTGTGCTGGTACTTGTTCGTCGCAGTCGGAGCTAAGCTGATATTGTTGTCACGTAATTCAACACCGGAATACGCATAATAAATACAACACTGCTGGGAAGGAGAGACACAGTCAAAGAAGTACTGCTATATATAGAAGATAATTAATAACCAAGAAGCCTCGAACACCAGCATCTTTCTCCAGCAAAGTAACACCAGGTGTCCCAAACAGAAGGAAGCAGTGTATAGCCAATGCGGCCATACCAGTGCTGCTGCATCACACCTACATCTTCTCCTAGGCTGTACGTGCAAACGTACGCTTTGCACAGCCGCTGCACGTGCGGATTCGTACCCCCGGGTATACGCCATCTGTCGCAACCCTCACTCCATATACTGTCTCTTTGGTACACGTATATGTAGCAGGATTCGGGTAGGAGTACGTGCACAGATATGTAGTGATGCACTGGCCCCCTACTACAGTATGGCCAGCAGCGTATAACCATACGTCAGGGTATTAGCCAGGAATGAGTATTGTGGAGTGCAGAAAAAATATTTGGGAGTGCAATTTTTACAATGTACACACTACACAGCTAGACTAAATATTTTAGGCCGTGTACACATTTAGGTAGTGCTACACATTTTTGGCCGGGCAGTTTCAAAACTGACCGTGCAAATCACGACTGCACGGCTCGCTGGCTAATATGTTGCCATACGTAGATAATAGCAACTCTGTACCTTAGGTAGTGACGCACCAGCCTCGGATGCGGGCACCGCCTCTACATTAAGCATTAATAGAGGGCTAGCAGCATCGTGTCAATCACCAGCGCGTGGCCTCAGACGACAGTCACCATCGCGGACTTCCTCCCTTTAGGAATCAAGTTCAGAGGGTGGGTCAGGATCGGTTTACGTTCGCATGTGCCAGGGGGGTGAGACAACACCTTGGCTGGTCAGAGCATGGGAAATCACACCTCCCCCCTCCCAAGAGCGTGGGAGTTAGGGTTGGGGTGTCCGGCTCGCAGGTTTACCCTGGCACAATCGCATAGGTTGAATGACGTCGTCGACGCTAGGGCGAGCGCGATACGTAGGGCGTGCGTAGCTACAAGGGTATATACAGTGTACGGATATATATAAATACGTGTGTGATATATAACGGTTATATATGTACAATCTACGTACTTCAATACAATCTACAATCTTATACATGCTGCCATGTTTTGGGACTAAATTTGGAGAGAGTTGGTCACTCCCATGGCGTCGCACTCACGCGACTCGTGTGGGCTGTTGCTCGGCTCCGCGAGTCTGCGCGCTTACGGGGGCGGGCCGTTCTGGCGTGCGCAATCATCCCCGGCCGCACGCGCAAACGTACGCATGTCGCAGCCGGGCGCGCGCAGGGCTCTCCTCACACATAATGTGGCAACAATATACTCAGGTGTTTGTGTCTATATGTTGTTAACCGTGCGGAAAATGCGGTTGCGCGGTTTAGTTTGAGTTTCGCGCGCCGGGGACTTTGGCACCTACGAGACGTTAACTAGTTATGGAGACAGCGTCATCGCCGTGCAAGAACCACCTGGGAAGAGCAGTGGCCAAGTGTGTGGTGCTCATGACTTCAGGCTGAACAGTCTGATTCCACCTTGATCACTTCTCTTGTGCCCATGAGCAACGCATTTTATCCCAGTTTGCTTGGAGAAGGGAGTGACTTTGTCACTAGTGAGGAGATAAGCTTCCTCTGCCGCCCCTAGCTACAGGTTGTCCTTAGGCAAGGTATAGCACCTGTTTAGCCTCCCGTACCAGGGTTACGGTGAAGATGCCTAATATAGTGGAGATGGACTGAACACAGCATTGACCATAACAAAATTGGAGGGAAGGAGAAACATAGCTAAAGGAGTGCTGCTCTACTAGATAATCCACATCAAAGACGGTAAATATCTTGCTCCAGCTAAATATCTGCTAGTGACCCAAGGAAGATGGAGAAGAAGAAGAAGAAGAAGAAGATTAACAAAAAGAATGAAAAAAATGAAAAAGAAGAAGGAAACGCCGCTGACGACAACGAAGAAAAAGAAGAAGAAGAAGAAATAGACTATGATGACGATGTGGGCAACAACCAAGATGATGACTTCAACAATGAAGAGAAATGTCTGATCATAGGTAACTTTAGTCTTTACAGTTTTTTTTTTAGTTTTTTTTTTTAGTTATTACAGCACAAGCAAATCTAATTCAGTCAATTGCAGTATGTATAGATATAAACGTGCTTGTGTTAAATTCAGTGATCAATATAAGACATTATCTGGTTGGCAGAACCAAACTTAACAATTTTCACCAATTTCAACCAACTATACATGGTCTGTCACTTTGAAGGTATCTGTTTTCAGATGGAAGAGGGATAATTGGTGCCAGAGTGTTGAGTCATGAGGCTGGTATTGGAGCAAGATGTTTTTTCCTCCATTCAAACACCATGCATGCTTATCATTTAGACCAGCAATACACAGTGAGTAGTTTCTGTCCATGTCTTAGAGAAGAGCGTGTCTTGTGGGCATGTATCAGAGTAAAGAGCAGCATATAGTGAGAGTGTTTGATAGAGGGTGAGGAATAGCTGGTGTATACATATGTGTGCGTGTGTGCATGCATGTATGCGTACGTGCATTCATGCATGTGCGTGTGTGTCTAGATAGAAAGAGAGAGAGAGAGAGAGAGAGAGAGAGAGAGAGAGAGAGAGAGAGAGAGAGAAAAAGAGAGACAGAGTGGATGGAGATTTTTTGTCATTATCAAAATTTTCTATTTTATAGTTTTAATAAATTAATTTGGTCTGTCTGAACTGTTATAGTTGGGATCGGACATAAGAAGTTAGAGCTGTCATTAATATGAAAATATTTTGATTCTATTATCAAAATGGTGTTTTCCGATATTTCGATCCGATTCGTATAGTATAAATATAATGTTTCAATTCCTTTCTGGCATGTATGGTAGCTTTTGCTGTAATTTTGAACTTAAATTAGTACACTTGACGCTACATTGCATGGGACCAATGTTTTCCCTGCTAGGAATGCAACGCCTAGTTTAAGCAACTAAAAAGAAAGAACACACCTAAAGAGTTAAACCTATATATTTATATTGCAACGTGAATAAAATGAAATAGAACGAACAGAATGTGACAGAATGACTCCACGTCTACTCAATCCACCAGGAAGCTCAGTAAAGCTAGCTCATCCATAAACTAAAGATACAGCACCACTAGTCGGTAGTCCATCTTAGGAAGTTAGGTCACAATATGTCTCCTCCGAAGCAGCGCTATGCTTCTATGCTTTGTATAGTTATAGTGTAAAGAGAAACTAATATGTTGGCATTGTCAGGCACCAAACTCTCGCTCCCCAGGTTAAAAACACCACCTGCAGTAGAGAATTTCCTCTCATATTTCAGCAGAATAACCTATATGAGGTGTAAGGTAACAACACTACAGCAAAACGGTTTTTTACTAATAATATTTTACTGTATCGGGTCGCTATTCTGGAATTCTTTTTGATATCGATATCGCATGCAAATACATCACGATACATCGATGACAGTCCTAATAGAAATGTAAATTATATGAAATATCCATAAATGAGTTGACTGATATGATCCGTTATAATGCCTCCTAACAGGTTACTCGTTAACTTAATCACCTATACAGTTAGGCTTAGATACAAATATCCGGATATCTTTTTAGATATTTAGAAGTTTTCGGGATATTTAGAAAAATTCTGGATATTTAGAAAAATTCTGGATATTAAATATTAATTTCCTCAAATATTAAGGATTTGTAAGGATGAGTTTGTCTTTTTCTGTATAAATTTTTTTAAATTACAGTATTTGTTTTTTACATTTTTTTAATAAATTTTATATAATATGACATATTCTGCTATTGCGCTTTTTCGCACAAATAATATGTCGTTATAAAGACATTACGGTTGACAATTAACTCGAGATATTTAGAAGAAGATTTGGGGGATGTTTAGAAAAACAATTGTAGTATTGATACGAGATTTTTTGAATATACCGGAAGGATATTAGGCCATTTTTCGAGAATATTGTGTGATATTAAGCCATTATCCCAGTATATCTTACACTATGTAATAATCCTCGCACTCATATCATTTACACTTTTCGTCCTTACTGTTGTTTAAGAAGACAGGAGGGCAGGAAACGCGGGAACAAGGAATCATGGAGCCAGGACGCTAGGACAAGGAACAGGACTTACATAACTCACTTCTGCTGAGAGAGCTTGACAACTGCCCCGACCACGGTCACACACGCCGAGCTAATGAGCACACCAAATCATCAGTTAAAAGGACATTTGTGAAGACTATAGACACTCATCACGCTACGGGAGGCGTGAGTGCATTGAAATCGTAGAGAGCGAGGACTGTTATGTGCATGATTGGCATCTACGTTAATAGTGACAAATGTTTGTTACCGATCTGGCATCGTTGTTAATCGAAGTCGCAGAGTACTGTTTTCATGAGTTGCGTTTTAGAACATCAGTAGCTTTCAATTGTCGAAAGTTATTTTGACTAGACATTATATGACAAAGAATAGGAATTGTGTTGCATTTAACATTTTTTATAAATGTTAGCCGGCCAATTCACTCGCTTCAAATTCAACTCTATATTGTTGTAAGTAGGGACCTAGCGTAATTTGCAAGCACAAATGTCAGCGTAAATATTGGTAGTTATAATTTGCACGCAAACTCGCCACTAGATGCAGTTGTTGGCCATTAGTGAAGTGATTCACTGTGACCAATCGGTCGTAGATTTGAAGCAAATTGATTCGTTTCATGTTAACATTATTTTTTGTAGCGTGTATTTGCAAATGATGTGTGGAATGTAGATAAATTTTTCTAGGTAGTTAGTTTGTTTCAGAATGGATGATTGGCAGAAGATCGCGCGAGACATGACGTGAGTGTAACAGGGGGTACGTGAAGGGGAGGGGGAGGGTGGAGTGGGCACAGGGAGGGGGGGAAGGTCGGTGGGATAGGGGCAGGGGGGAAGGAGGGTCAAGGTGGTGGGGCGGGAGAGGGGAGGGGGAGAGTTAGGATTAAGAAGGAGAGCCTGCATTGGGGCAGCATAGGTTAGCGTTAGCTTAGAATAACTAGGTAGGCTCTAGAAATATAACGCTCTCATGGTGTTAATAGTTGCTAGACTAAGCTCTGAGTGAGATGAGTGTGACACAAGAAGGGAGAGAAGCGAGTGTCATGCAGTGAGGACGAGCGGAGAGTGACAGCGTGCGCTGGAAAGCTGTGTACGAGTCTGGCGAGAGACACGCGCGCGAGAAGGGAGAGAGAGATAGACGTGGCGGAGTAGGCTAGACAGAGAGATAGTTAGATAGACCGAGGAGTTATATGCAAATAATAAATGCTATTATTTTGTAAATAAAGCTTTTATTTTCTAACGAAATTTACGTTTTAAATGATTTAAAGTTGAGTAATTACAAATGTTATGCTAAATCTAGCTATTTCTTGCATTTTCTTATTCTTCTCTCGACTCTTGAACGTCATGACACCTGAACACACAGTTATATGCTAAACACTAAGTCTAGCTTTGCGAAGTTATGCGAATTATGAAAAGAATGCATCAACGAATAATATGCTTGACTGACTATTGGTATGAACAAATATACGATTGACTGACTATTGATATGAACAAATATACGATTGACTGACTATTGATATGAACTAATATACGATTGACTGACTATTGATATGAACAAATGTACGATTGACTGACTATTGGTATGAACAAATATACGATTGACTGACTATTGATATGAACTAAGTCTAAGAATAAGTATAACATTATGGACAAGTCGTTGCTGTTGTCGGTGAAGGTCCGCAGGGGGGCGCCACGATCGCAGAGAAGACTAGCACATTGTAGAAGGTTCGTCTGTCAGCCGCGTGTACCTAGGAGGAAGATTAGAACCGAGTTAAGATCAATGTATTCTACTATAAACCGAACAATATTCAACAAATAATCATGTTAAAATAAACTTGTTGGTATATACGGGATATCGTAATGAATCTTTCTCTAAATAGAGCATTAATTACCTTACATTATTGCCATGATTTTACACGTGTGGTGAATGCTTCGAATAAAGAATGTCGGTGGGATGGGGGCAGGATGGGGTATTGGTTAAAGTGGAAAGGCGTAGCAGGTGCATGGGGTCTAATAATATAGCAGGGAGCTAGGTGATGAATTATATATTTTCGAGAAAGTTTTGTTGGAAGACAAATTATTTAGCCAAAGTTGAAATTTATATGGCATTCTCTAGTGAATTCTGACCATTAAATCAGAGCAAAGCGACCTTTCTTATCAGGTTCTCCCGTTACCTGCACATGTGTGTATGTGGGGGGGATGATCAAGAGGAAAACGGAGTTAACATTACCATCTTTCAACGTTACGGGTTAGGGACCACTTAACGTTACGGGTTCAAGAAAATAAACCACATGTAGGCATCATGCATGGATTAGGCTGAATGGTTTATTTTCTATTATTCATCGGCATTTATATTTACATTGACATTAATTTACTTACATCAACTTTCAAAATTTTCCTATTTGCATTTGATAATTGTATACATTTTTTATCATCCAAATTTCAGGGGGCACCGGCCACCTTCTCCTACCTCCCCCACCTTCGAGGCCATGGCCATGACAATAACGATAAGGACTATATTCTCTACCCGAAAAACCCGCGCCTCAAATACAGCAGCTTCCCCTGTCTGTAAATCTCATATAAGAGACAAATATGAACAGTACGCCTAGCTAACCGCTGAACAAGATCAAAGCTATATTTATTTTTCACGTTTATAACTGCGTTCGTGCGTACATAAGCACGGGTGTGTTTAGGTGCGTGCGCGGGCGCGTACGAACGTGTCTGTGTGTATACGTGTGCTTGCGTGTGCGTTCGTACATGTGTACGCCTGTGCGTGTGCGCGTACGTTTGTATGTGTGTTCGTGCATGTGTGGCTGCGTGGTATGTGTGCATGTTTGAGTGTACATGCATGAGCGTGCGTGCGTGCGTGCGCGCGTGTGTATGTATGTATGTGAATGTCGGGGTGAATGTGTGACTCCGTGCATGTGTGTGCGCGTGCGTGTGTATGTAT